TGCTCCAACAAGTCGACTGCATCTTTCGATTTTTGGCGATGCTTAAAACAAACAAATCCGAGATTAGCATTCCACAAACTGCTCTATTTTCTATGCCCAAATCATTTTGCTGACGAAAATGTATGCGGCGAAACACGTTTTCACAATAGCAAAAACGATTCAGAAATACTTTCTGAAGAGGAATTTCTCTACATTTCTCCCAAAAATTAAATTTTGCATACAGTTCACTAATGAAAATAAGAAACAAATCGAAAACAATAAGGCACCAACAATTATTTTAAACAATATTATAAACGATAAAGAATTATTGTACTGAATACAAACGAACCTCAATCACACAATTCCTGATTTGCTCTGCAGACTGCAGTCTCGCATCGTATGTTGCTGCCCTCAAAAATGAACATACAAATTTCACAAAAAATACATCTATTTCAAATACATTTCACAAAAAAATTTCACAATACACCTATTCACAACATTCGCAATATACCGAAATATCGAAAATTTTTGATAAAAACTTCACTCAACCATAATAAAAGTAACAATTATAACATCACTGCTCACAAAAAATGGTAAGAATAACTATCAATTTTCACAAATATCAGTGTCGAATGGAAAATAGAAGAAGACGAAGAAGAAAACGAATCAAAGACCGCAAAAAAGTGCGAAAGAAAAAACCGAAACTTACGGATTACTAACCGACGGTTTCGCGACCACTTCCGGAAATTGACCGTCCACGTCCATTTTTAGAATCCACATTGCGTAGAACCACGCAGCAAACAGGCGCTCAGGCTTATTCAGCCTTGAAGCGATCTCTTGGAATCGATCGAACACCACCACACCCGCATCATCGTTTATACCCTAAACCAATTCAGTCTCAAATAATTATGCAAACTCCACGAACTGTCCATTTTAACTGGATAATTTTATGAGCGTCGTCTAATCCTCCAAATATGGATACAGAGGCAAACGTATACAAGAAAATATCTTCGACAGTTGCAATTTTAAAAACAATTTTAGAGAGCGATTCATCGATTTTCGTTTGTCTAAATGTATAAATTTTTTGTTGGAATGGTAGAAATCGTATTGCGGACATTTAAAAAAATGATTATCTATTAAATATCTAAATCATTATCATTATCTTAGAAATCATTATCTATTAAACTTCCAACTGCATTGAATGAAACGATAGGTTCTCTGCTCGAAAATAGTTTAACTTCAAGAAAATTAATTGTCTACGTGTGCAAATTTCACCGACGAAAGCTTAAGAAGAATGCAGAAACGATTCACTGAAAAAAAAAGAAATCAATTTTGTTAAACATATTAAACTGAGTACGGACAAGATTTCGTTCCGGGAAACAGAAGTGAATAAGTCGATTGAATAGAGCTTTGAGTTGAAGCGCATTGCAACTGAAAAACAAAATTATATACAAATGGAGATTATGAAATGGAACTAAGATATATATTCTGGAGAGGATGGCCGATGCGATCGAATTCCATATATTTTTTCGCAAATATTCTTCTTGATGAATATACAACTTCAATGTGTTTATAACGAAACTTTGCAAAACTAAAATTGTTCACCTTTCTTTCAGATGTTCTAAATTCCAGTCAATTGATGCGAAAGATGCCAAA